AGAGAGAGAGAGAGAGAGAGAGAGAGAGAGAGAGAGAGAGAGAGAGAGAGAGAGAGAGAGAGAGAGAGAAGATGGAAGAGACAAAGAGAGAGAGAAGAATTGTTGGCCATCCACCATTCCACGAGATCACATGCATTTACAATGTCCTATGTATTGAAGGCATACACACACGCACACACACACACACACACACCCCGCACACACACACAGACACGCACACGTGTACACACGCACACACACACACACACACACACACACACACACACACACACACACACACACACACACACACACACACAACCGGATCTGTCAGGCGTCACTTGTGTCACGTTGTGTGGATATCTGGCACAGGTTTGAAGGGTTCAATAGCGACGTCATTAAATGGCTTCTCTTATTTTCAACCCTCTATGCTTTCCTTCATTCGCTGTTCTTCAAATTCTCCGAGATTCTTTTACCCCGCAATCCTTCCATTACAAGTAGATCAAAGTTCGAACAGGAAAAAGAGATCGACTGTTACAGACTTCAATGCCAGTTATAAACCGTTTCGATTACTGTTGGAGGGGGTGGAGACTGAAAAACAGACCCTCTCCGTTCACAAGAGGGCCAAAGAGGCCTGGACCTCTTGTGAAAGGCTGAAGGCCAATACAAGCCCAGATACCAACAAACCACGATCTTCACTCATTTGCCCTTGCCCAGCAGAGCGTAGTCTTCGGCAAAACAGTAGGGGAAGCATCGCGGCGTGAAGCCGACCAATGACGAGCACAAAGGGGAAATCATACCGTAATAAACGAGACAGAGAGAGAGAGAGGAGGGGGGGGGGGGATAAATGAGGACATGGAAGGCAGAGAAAGAAAACAGAGGAATAAAGCGAAAGAACAAAGGAAAAGATAGACGGAGAAAGGTAGAAGACAGGAATGAGAAAGGAACATAGAGACACAAAGACAGAGCTCAATCGGACGATGAACGGGGGTGGAGTGAGGAAGGGCAGGAGGGAGGGAGGGAGGGTGGAAGGGAGGGAGGAAAGGAGGGAGGAAGGGAGGAATGGAGAGAGGGAGGGAGGAGGGAGGGAGGAGGGAGGGAGGGAGGGAGGGAGAACAGGAGGGAGGAAAGGCAGGAGGTGGAGATGTGATTACCGAGATTGCAAAATATGCAAGAGCGGTGAAGAAATCTGCCATGGTCTCCAGCCGGAGCATAGATTCGCATGCCAAGCCTTGGCACGTATAATCCTTGACGACACTCTTTTCCATATCTGGCGATGGGTGATACACGCCGCTGTCCTTCGACGATAATCCTGTTGAGGTGAGATCAATGGAACGTCTACGAAATTATTATCATTATTATTGTGTTAATTATATTTTATTATTGTTATTATTATTTTATTCTTTTCTTTTCCTACTTTAATCACAGCAGAAAATGGCGGAGAGCCGAGTGCCGATCATAACTCGGGGTAGGGATACTCAGCTTAAAATATGAAAATACCGATAAGGAAAAAAATGATAATTGCTTTGATCTGTTGGTCAACTAGGTGAAAACTTTTTCTTGTCAACATAAATGCGCGGACAGTAGCAGTCGCAATAGGTTTCAAGGATACACCTGAGGTGGCGACCGATTTCAAGCCCCAATCCCGATGTCCCGATGCGTCACCGCTTAAGTTTTCGCTCGGTGCAATGCAGAGCCTAGACACCTCTCTCTCTCTCTCTCTCTCTCTCTCTCTCTCTCTCTCTCTCTCTCTCTCTCTCTCTCTCTCTC